ATAAAAGCTGTTTTGGCAGTAAGAGGGATACCTACATGATATTAGGCAAGTGGTTTTAGCATTGTTGCTGATGAGTGTATAATACAATAAATAGCATTTACATAGAGCCATAGCGTGTCCCTTTGAAGTCATGATAGATACAGCTGTTCATGTAATGTGTTAAAATGTTTCACTGGAATAGAGAATAATAGGTTACAGTTAAATACAGTTAAATAGGACAGTTACATTGTATCAAACAGTGACTCCTACTTTCTTTAAAACCTGGAAAGGAAGGAGCAGTAAGATATACACCAGTAAGCAGGCAATAACTGTGCCAGTAAAGTAACCGTGTCATTCTTGGTATTTGTAGGAGAAGCTCATGAGTCAAAAGTACACAAGGTACACAATGAATAAATAGACAGTTGTAACAGACTGACTAGTGCTTGTAGTAATCATGTTTTAATAGGCACCAAATGTGTGGTTTCATTTCTGAACAGATGGAAGTAATCAGCAATCTGTTTATGAAAAATATTGTTGAAGCACTGCAGTAAACTATAAAACCATGTAATTATTAAGCATGTTTTTTATGTTTATTTCTGTTTTCATAAATATAGCATATGAAAAAACTTAATTATTTTGTACTGGATAAAAAAGTGAAAAAGTGTGATAAATCGTGTTTTAAAAACATGTTTTTGCAATTTCTAGTACTGAATATTTTTAGTAATTATATTTTATATATTCTTTCTATCGAAAAATTACTGTTATGCATCTAAGTCCCATATCTCCCGAACGGCTGAACCGAATGGGCTGATTTTTAAATATGTTAGTCCCCTAGAAACAAGTATTTGGGGTACATCCAAACTTTGGGGAAAATATGTTCCTTTTTAATTGTGTTATTTAGTTATCTAAGGGGAGGGGATGTACAGAATGTATATTGTATTGATTGGTTATACTGTTAATTATGTGGGTGTCTCCCTTGCATGGGCAGAATCGCATAAAAGAGAATGTCTGTCAATAAACCCTCAGTTCTTCTTGACCCTTCAAAACGTAGCCTCATCTCGTTCTTGAAAGGGGAATCTATGCAGCTTAATCACTCAACTCTTTTCAGAGCTGCACTGGACTTCCACTCCTGATCCAGCAGAAGGGAATAGGCGACTCCATCACTACACAGTGACTTGCAGGGAAGAAAAGGACATCCCCAACGGCTGGTACCCTCACCATACCAGGGCAGCCGTTACAGGGTGTATCTAAATACCTGCATAGGAGCTAGTGTTATACTACCTATGAGTTTGCTGAGAGACAGTACTCCTGTGTTGCCTAATACTTTGAGGAATCAGGAGGAAGAGTAGGAATCAGGAGGGAGAGGATGTGCACTTTGCACCAGCCCATTCATCACAACAGGCCTATCCCTACCATTGCAAACAGGTTTGAAACCTAAAAGCATTTATACACCTAACATGGTTAATCAGTCAATTGACATATTCTCTAACTTAGTTAAGAAAGATGTAAGGAGATTAAAGAAGAAAAGTAAGGGAAGAGGAAAATATTTACAACAGACTCCAAAATTCACCTAGAAAGAATGGATAATTTTAAATAATTTGAAACAAGTTGAATCAATCATTATAAAACCAGCCGACAAAGGTGGAGCACTAGTGATTATGGATTGGACTTACTATGTGGGGGAAATTAGGTCACAACTCAATGATACTACAGCTATCAATTGATAGAGATCCTACACACAGACTACAAACATCCTTACAGAGACTGAATCAATATGCTACATTTAAAGGGAAAATCTATGAGGGAGAGTATAGATACATGAATAGGAAATATCCGACTATTTCTCTGTTTTATACTCTCCCACAGATACACAAGAACCCACAGTTCCCACCACGTAGACCAATAGTCAGTGGGACAGGGTCAATACTACAATCTCCAGCAGAAATTTTAGATACATTGCACATTCAATATGCGCCTACACAGAAGTCCTCTATTAAAGACACAAACAAATTCCTAAAGCTGATTGAGAATTTCTCTAAAATAGACCAAGAGGAAATCTGGCTAGTTACTCTGGTTCCCTATATACATCCATTAACCACAAAGGGGGTCTAAAAGCAGTAAATTGGACCTTAAACAATGATAGCGACTTGACACAATATGTAGATACCAAGAAATATATACCGGATCTACTACAGTTTGACCTGACGGAGAATTATTTTCTCTTTGAGGACAAATTTTACACACAGGTGAAGGGAACGGCTATGGGCTGGAATGTAGCCCCAACATACGCCAACATTTACAGTGCCTTGCAAAAGTATTCACCCCCATTGACTTTTTACCTATTTTGTTACATTACAGCCTTAAGTTCAATGTTTTATTAATCTGAATTTCATGTGATGATCAGAACACAATAGTCTACGTTGGTGAAGTGAAATGAGAAAAATATATACATAAAACTATTTTTTAGAAATAGAAAACAGAAAATTGGCATGTGCGTATGTATTCACCCCCTTTGTTATGAAGCCTATAAAAAGCTCTTGTGCAACCAATTACCTTCAGAAGTCACATAATTAGTGAAATTATGTCCACCTGTGTGCAATCTAAGTGTTACATGATCTGTCATTACATATACACACCTTTTTTGAAAGGCCCCAGAGGCTGCAACACTTAAGCAAGAGGCACAACTAACCAAACACTGCCATGAAGACCAAGCAACTCTCCAAACAAGTAAGGGACAATGTTGTTGAGAAGTACAAGTCAGGTTTAGGTTATACAAAAATATACAAATCTTTGATGATCCCCAGGAGCACCATACAATCTATCATAACCAAATGGAAAGAACATGGCACAACAGCAAACTTACCAAGAGATGGCAACCCACCAAAACTCACGGACCGGGCAAGGAGCGCATGAATCAAAGAGGCAGCACAGAGACCTAAAGTAACCTTGGAAGGGCTGCAGAGTTCCACAGCAGAGACTGGAGTATCTGTACATATGACGTCAATAAGCCGTACGCTCCATAGAGTTGGGCTTTATGGCAGACTGGCCAGAAGAAATCCATTACTTTCAGAAAAAAACAAAATGGCATGTTTTTAGTTTGTGAAAAGGCATGTGGGAGACTCCCAAAATGTATGGAGGAAGGTGCTCTGGTCTGATGAGACTAAAATGTAACTTTTTGGCCATCAAAGAAAACGCTATGTCTGGCGCAAATCCAACACATCATATCACCCAAAGAACACCATCCCCACAGTTAAAAATGGTAGTTGCAGCATCATGCTGTGGGGATGTTTTTCAGCAGCCGGGACTGGAAAACTGGTCAGAGTTGAAGGAAAGATGGATGGTGCTAAATGCAGGGATTTTCTTGAGCAAAACCTGTACCAAGCAGTGCGTGATTTGAGGCTAGGACGGAGGGTTCACCTTCCAGCAGGACAATGACCCCAAACACTGCTAGAGCAACACTTGAGTGGTTTAAGGGGACACATGTAAATGTGTTGGAATGGCCTAGTCAAAGCCCAGACCTCAATCCAATAGAAAATCTGTGGTCAGACTTAAAGATTGCTGTTCACAAGCCCAAACCATCCAACTTGAAGGAGCTGGAGCAGTTTTGCAAGAAGAAATGGGCAAATTTCCCAGTGGTAAGATGTGGTCAGAGACTTATCCTGTGATTTGGAGCTGTGATTTCTGCAAAAGGTGGCTCTACAAAGTATTGACTTTAGGGGGGTGAATAGTTATGCACATTGACTTTTTCTGTTATTTTGTCCTATTTGTTGTTTGCTTCACAATAAAAAAAAATAAAAAAATAAAAAACATCTTCAAAGTTGTGGGCATGTTCTGTAAATTAAATGATGCAAATCCTCAAACAATCCATGTTAATTCCAGGTTGTGATGCAACAAAACACGAAAAATGCCAAGGGGATGAATACTTTTGCAAGGCACTGTAGAAACATAGGATGTTCAGATAAGAACCATCCAACCCATCTAGTCTGCCCAATATTTCAAAATATTTTAATTAGTCCCTGGCCTTATCTTAAGTCTAGGAAAACCTTATGCCTATCCCAATCATGCTTAAACTCCCTCACTGTGTTAACCTCTACCACTTAAGCTGGAAGGCTATTCCATGCATCCACTACCCTCTCAGTAAAGTAATACTTCCTGATATTATTTTTAAACCTTTGACGCTCTAATTTAAGACTACGTACTCTTGTTGTGGTAGATTTTCTTCTTTTAAATATAGTCTCCTCTTTTACTATATTGATTCGCTTTATGTATTTAAATGTTTCTTTCATATCCACCTGTCTCGTCTTTCCTCCAAGCTATACATGTTAAGTTCCTTTAACCTTTCCTTGTAAGTTTTCTCCTGCAATCCATGAACCAATTTAGTTGCCCTTCTCTGAACTCTCACTAAAGCATGGGTCATCAGCCTGGTCCCTACCGCCCACCAGTGAGCGTTTCAGGATTCCAAGTGGGCGGTAGGGATTTCGGTGCCTAAATCCTCTGTTTGAGAGAGTGGGTGGTTGGGCCAGACACAGCAAGCTGGGACTTGGCTGACAGCCCTAATGATCATTATGATTAATCCTCCTCTCAGACTTTGCCAGCCTTTCAGTCAGATGGGAGGGAGGAGGGAGGAGCTGGAAGCTGGTGTGACTGCCAGCGGCCGCAGGGAGACCTCTCAGTCTCCCTGCACACTCTAAAATCATTTCGGCAGCATGCCCCGCCTCCTAACAGAAGATCCGCCTCCCGCAAACAAGCTCAACCCCACACACGTTTCTGGAGAGCTGCCACCGGACCAAGAGGAAACTAAAAATTATTTACCTTTTTACAGCCCCCTTCCAACCATTCAAACGTCCCCTACCCACTATACAGCCCCCTACCCACCTCACAGCCCCCTAACCACTATACAGCCCCCCTACCCACCTCACTGCCCCGCTACTCACTATGACACTCCCCTACCCACTATACTGCCCCCCTACCCACCTCACAGCCCCCCTACCCACCTCACTGCCCCCACACACTATAGAGCCCCCCTACCCACAATACAGCCCCCCTACCCACCTCACAGCTCCCCTACCCACTATACAGCCCCCCTACCCACTATACAGCCCCCCTACCAACCTCACAGCCCCTACCCACTATACAGCCACCCTATTCACCTCACAGTTCCCCTACCCACTATACAGCCCACCTACCCACTATAGAGCCCCCCTACCCACCTCACAGCTCCCCTACCCACTATACTGCCCCCCTACCCACCTCACAGTCCCCCTACTCACCTCACAGTCCCCCTACCCACTATACAGCCCCCCTATCCACCTCACAGTCCCCCTACCCACTATACAGAACCCCTACCCACCATACAGCCCCCCTACCCAGCTTACAGAACACCTACCCACCTCACAGTCCCCCCATCCACCTTATGAAAATCAAACCAGATAATATTTACTCTCACAGCATCAACCTCAAGGACCTCATTAATCACTAGTAAAGGTAATTTCAATTTACTTTATTGTTTTCTCATTAAACTTTATAATGTTAAAAACATTATAAACATGGATAAAGCAGGAATAAAAAGTTAAATGTACGTACATTTATTTTATTTTTAAAAACACCCTCCTTTCTAAAAAATATTCCATACTTGCGCGAAAACTGGTGGGCAGTAAGGAAATCTTTCCATCAAGAAAGATGCATTAGTGGGCGGTAGGTAGAAAAAGGTTGACTAACCCTGCACTAAAGTATCAATATCCTTCTGAAGATACGGTCTCCAGTACTGCGTATAATACTCCAAGTGATGTCTCACCAGTGTTCTGTACAATGGCATGAGCACTTCCCTCTTTCTACTGCTAATACCTCTCCCTATACAACCAAGCATTCTGCTAGCATTTCCAGCTGCTCTATTACATTGTCTTACTACCTTTAAGACATCTGAAATAATTACTCCAAAATCCTTTTCCTCAGATGTTTAGGTTAGTAGGGTGTCAAATATCCTATACTCTGCCCTTGGGTTTTTACATCTAAGGTGCATTATCTTGCACTTATCCACATTAAAACACTTTTTTAAAATAATAATAGATATCAGAATCTGTTTGTAACTATAACTGGTTGAAGTAGGGGTATGTTACAATCAGAATATAAATTAATAATTATATGCATGATGTATTGACTAAACAATCAATAGATTTGGCAGAATCATTACCACAAGGTATATGTACCTTTAATCATCACAAACCAAATAACATTTTCATGGTATTTCAAAAACTGATAAATAAAATATTTGATCACATGTATTTTAATATATATACATATAGTGGTATGGATGTTGAATTTATATCTTTGACATCTTTTCACCTGTTTGCAATAGGTGACCTAAGTTATCAATTTCCATATTCATCAAGTATATCACCTGGAAGGGTTAATCCATACTACTCTTTTACCTTCCATTGACTGACCTTAGCTCTGGCAGTCTGAACTAGACATGTGCAATTCGTTTTGTTCCGAATTTCAATGGATGGATTTCGGGCAAATCGAACATTCGGATACTTCCTGTCGTCCGAATAGCTGAGTTGCCGAAGTTGCCGAAGTTCAGAAGTGTTGAAGTGCCAAAGTTCCGAAGCACAGTATTGCCGAATGTTACACTGTCTACAAGTTTAAATAAAAAGTATACAAACATAGCCAGGATTCAGCTGTAAGCATTTTCAACACTTACAACAATCAAGTAACACACAGTCATATAAAATGTAAGTTACTTAGCCAGTCAATGGAATGACAGGAATTCCCACGGTATTAGGGAGCTATCTACTAAAAGGCTGAAAGACCTAAATTGGTATTTCAGCCAAATTTACTAACACCAAGCAAAGATTACTTAGTATTAGTAAATTATGCCACTACTCGCTAAACCACGAGTAGGGGCATGTCTAGTAAACAGTGAGCAGCCTGCATGTTCCCCCTCCCAATCCCCCACCCGTGCCGCACGAGTGGGGGCTTCTTACGTGAAGGGGGTGTCCTATTGTCCTCCCCCCGGCCCCCACCCGCCACTCAGGACACGCCTGAGCAGCGGGTGGGGCTCTACGTACCAATAAGGAGGGGGGACCTATTGACCTCCCCCGATCCCCACTCCTGAGCGGTGGGTGGGGGCCCTAAATTAGAATAAGGGGGGGCCTATTGTCCTCCCTCCGCCCCCCACCCATGAGCAGCGGGTGGGGCTCTAATTACCAATAAGGACCTATTGTCTGGCCCCGACCCCTGAGCGGTGGGTGGGGGCTCTAAATTAGAATAAGGGTGGACCTATTGTCCTCCCCTTGGCCCCCACCCTTGAGTGGCGGGTGGGGCTCTAAGTACCAATAAGGAGGGGGACCTATTGTCCGCCCCCCGGGTGGCGGGTGGGGGCCCTAAATTAGAATAAGGGGGGGACCTATTGTCCTCCCTCCGCCCTCCACCCATGAGTGGCGGGTGAGGGTCCTAAGTAAGAATAAGAGGGAGGGACCTACTGTCCTCCCCCACTGGCCCCCACCCCTGAGCGGTGGGTGAGGGCCCTAAATTAGAATAAGGTAGGGGACCTATTATCCTCCCCCCAGGCCCCACTCTTTAGCGGTGGGTGGGGGCTCTTAAGTAAAATAATGGGGGGACCTATTGTCCTCCCCCCATGGCCCCCACCCATGAGTGACGGGTGTGGGCCCTAAACATGAATAAAGGGGAGACCTATTGTCTTCCTCCCCGGCCCCCACCCCTGAGCGGTGGGTGGGGGCCCTAAATACCAATAAGCAGGGGTTCTAAATTAGAATAAGGATGTGGACCTGTTGTCCTCTCCCCTGGCTCCCACCCCTGAGCAGCGGGTGGGGGCCCTAAATAAAAATATAACCCCCCCAGATGACTAGGGATCCCCAAACCCCTAGTCACCCCCCTTCCAAAAAATGAACTAACCCCTACCTACCCCCCTCACCCTAAAAATAATGAGAGACCATTAACTAGGTACCTGTAAAAAAAAAAAATAAAAAAAAATACCATTTGATGTCTTCTTTTTTCTAAAATCTTCTTTTTTCAGTCCCCAAAAAAGGCCAAATAAAAATCCATAATAATCATCGCACTTTGAAAAAAATAAATCTCTACATTTACCTGTCAGGGCACTCTGATTGGTTAGCTTCAAATCCAGCCAATCAGATTGCTCTGTGTCATTTTACACAGCGTGGGAAAGTTCTTTGGAATTTTCACAGGCTGTGTAATTTGACTCATAAAATAGAAAAAATAGTGTGGAACCAAAGGTCCCTAAGTGGAAGAGTTATAAATAAAAGGGAAGTCCCTACCTTTAATAATCCTAAGGGTGTAGGCAATAAAAATAGACAGGGAGGAAAGATAGGGCAAGGGAATAGATGTGTGAAAACACATACAGGTCCAAACAACTACTTGCAGAGAAATAGCCCAATTCTAATAAAGTTGGGTCAAAAAAACTCCAAACTGTAAGGTTGTAAACAGATAGGTAATTAGAGGAATAACAGAGGAAGGAAAAAGGGGAAAGGGGAATAGGGAGGAACACTTCCTAACTGAATACCTCGGCACAGTGAGAATCACAAGTGCCTACCTATTACCCTTCTGCCTACCTGACTAAAGTAGCTAAAAATCGAATTAATTAAACTAATCCATAAGTGCTGCCCAAGTGAACAAACTGTAAAGAAAAATAAATAAATAAATAAAAACTCGACGCGCGTTTCAGCGTTCTAACACGCCGTCGTCAGGAGTAGTAAGCCTCTGCATAACTTTGTGCTCGTTTATATGGGGATTGTAGCAATCAACTTGAAACAGTTCACCTGTTGTGTGTCCACGCCCCGCCGTCTTGTCGGCCCATTGATTGGTCAAGAAAATGCCGTATTTGGATTGGGCCATGTGACTGGGGGGTGTTGCGGTTGATTGGGTGATACCCACGTGGGTGCATATCCATACCAAAGCAAGCCTTGCTATGCAGCCTGGATGTGGAATCTTTGTATAGCTCTATACCACATATGAAAGGTATTGATAATGTCAAAACCATTTTAGAACAAGAGCTTCAGTCCCCACATCTCTACATCGATTTCGTCTCAGATGTACTCAGAACGGTACTGACTAAAAATATTTTCCTATTTAATGGTAACATTTACCAACAAATAAAAGGGACAGCAATGGGGACTCCCTGTGCCCCCTCTTATGCGAACCTTTATTTAGGAACCTGGGAGAATCAAATCCTAAAGGTACCACACTTACGGAAATATTCAGAGTCAATAGCATGCTGGAAAAGGTACATCGATGACGTACTAATTGTATGGACGGGGTCTATTAAGGATTTTGAGGAATTTGTCAAAATCCTGAACAAAAATGATTTTGACTTGAGATTTACTAGTGAGCTAGGTGGTAACCAAATTAACTTCCTAGACATTACCATCACAATAAAGGAAGGGGGACTGGTACAGACAACCTTGTTCAAGAAACATACGGCTACGAATAGTCTCTTGAACTGGACTAATTATCACCCACAGCCACTCAAGGCTGGTATTCCAATCGGCCAGTACCTCCGACTAAGACGCAATTGCTCGTCCACACAGGACTTTAAGACCAAAGCCTGGGAATTAAGGAAAGCCTTCAAGGATAAGGGATATCCGAATAGGGTTCTACGGAGGGGATACGCTAGAGCCATCAAAACCGACCGAGACACACTCCTCACTGATGAGAATGCACAATCAGAAGATAAAAAACTGATTAGATGCATTGCCACATATGATGCGGGGTGGGACTATATGATGGATACACTCAGGCGTTACTGGCCGATCCTTAAGTCCGACCCACATTTGAAACATGTAATTACTTTTCTCCCCTCAGTTACGGCAAGGAGGGGGAGTAATTTTCGAGATACCCTGGTACAGAGTCACTTGGCACCCCGGAAAAGGGGCCTTAACAATTATCTACCGAAGGGTTCATACAAATGTGGACATTGCAGTGCATGTGAATTTATGGAAAGGAACTCCAAAGAATTCACTGACAGTAATAATACAGATGTCTTCCCTGTACTATCATTTTTTAATTGCAGAACAGAGGGTGTGATTTATTTACTCATCTGCTCATGCGGTATAAAATATGTGGGGAAAACATTTAGACCTTTTAAACTACGGATCCGGGAACACGTTAATTCAGTTAGGAGACCTCTTGAAACTCCCATATCCCGTCATTTAAAAATATACCATTCAAACTCCTCTAAAAAATTGAGGTTCATGGGAATCGAGCATATTCCACAGACTCAAAGGAAAGGAGATTGGGATATG